AGGCCGATCTGACTCAAGTAACGGACAACTGCCGCCCCTCTCCCATCTGTGATGTGGGCAGTGAGTAGTCGTGGGGAATTACTATGACCACAGATGCAAAGCAACTCAGGGTCGATGAAGACTGTTGGAAGCTGTCGAGCAGGTAGGAGACTCAGCTATAACTGGATACCTTGGGGTCTCACTTTCTGATCCTCAGGAGGAATAGGTCTCCTAGCCCTAAAGAGAGACCTCACTGGGGAGCCCACAGGGGCCCTCTGGCCCTGGGATGGGCTCACAGCAGAAGGCAAGGATGGAGGGGGCAGTCTGGCACCTGGCTGGGCCTCAGCAAGGAGGCTGCCTTTCTCTTCCCTTCCAGGCAGGGGAAAGAAAATGAAGCTTGAGACTCCCTAGCCAGCTGCATTTTGAATTTTCTTTTTGGTAGGAGAGAAAGAAAAAAGGCCAAGGAGTTGAAAACCTCAAGCAAGCTGTGGGCCGTGGAGGAACTGCTGCCCATCTCTGCCTCTTGGGCTGGGCTGAGTCCCTTCAGAGGGGCCCCGCTGGAGCCGAGCAGAAAAGCACACCAAGCCTGTGATGTTTCATCTTTTAAAAAACCTAAGCCCTGTGACTTGGCAGTGACCTGAGTCCCATGACCGCAGCTGCTGGCTCAGGTGGGAAGCTCCTACACTGTATCCTTCATGCTTCACACGCTCCTGCAGGCCGTCTTTGTCCTCAGCCTGGGACTGTTTCTCACTCGACCTGCCCCAGAGTCTCCCCTCCAGGCTACTAACCACTTCTGGCCACCAGCCTTCTCCTCCAATTTATGAATTGAAGGCCTTAAATGCACTTGGGTACCTTCAACTCAATAAAACCACATTGAGGATGCCGCCTAGGGAAATAATCCACACCATGGAATGAAGATTTATATAGAGATAGTCACCACAGTGTGGTTTAACATGGTGAAAGTTACCAACAAGCAAAAGAACCAGCGCTGGGATAATGTGGTGGGCCTTCGCACTGGTTTCAGATGGCAAGGACTTGATAAAAATCTCTGTGAGTGGGGCCCAGACATTTACCTTTTCAAGAGCCCCAAAGGCAACTCTGATCCATAGCCAGAGCTGAGACCCCCTGGAGTCACCTGATGAGAGATGTGCAGCCAATTTTTAAAGAGTTTTTATATGATATGGAAAAAGTGCTTACTACACTCTACAAGGCAAAACTAAATAACAGGGAACTAGATTGCTTTGCCAGGAACATCTTAACTCTCTAAAAGTAAAAAATCAAAACCCCAAACCAAATGAAGCAAAAACAACCCCAATCTTCCAACTTATCCCTCCCCTCTTCTATACAGAATAGATAACTAATAAGGACCTACTGTATAGCACAGGGAACTCAATTTGATACTCTGTAATGACCTATATAGAAAAGAATCTAAAACGACTGGATATACATACACATATGTCCAGCATATATCTCAGGATATACATATGTGTGTAACTGATTCACTTTGCTGTACAGCAGAAACTAACACATTATAAATCAATTATTCCTCAATACACTTTTTTTTTTTAAGGTGAGGAAAACAGGGTAAAAAGAAAAGCCCAAAACAAACATAAAAACTCCAAAACCTAGAGCCTTGGTGGAAACATGCTAACATGTTATCTCAGCTCCAGATGACAAGATTATGGGTATTTTCTCATTTCTATTCCCATTACTTTAAACCTTTCTTAAAAAAGAAAAACCAACAAAAAACCAAGAGCAGTTTTGTTTTTTTTTTTAAATAATCAGAGAAACACATAAAAGACAAGAGGCCCCATGAAGGACACCCCGCCCCTCAGCCCTGTGCTGCCGGCCGCCCAAGTGGGCTCATCCAGGCACTGCTCTCCACGCCTCCCATATGGTCTGACTCTAGAACCCCTGACCCCTTCTTGAGCTCACATGCATTTTGCAGTCATTATTTTAATTAATCTCGCAAACAATCTGGTATTGGAAGTGTTGTTATTCCTTTTCCTTTTTTTTTTAGATGAGGGGAATTGGCTAGAATTAAATCTACAGTTTAAAAACCATCTAGATAACATGATGAGGCTTGGTCAGAAACTTTCAGGCCCTTGGCTTCTCTCTTGGCCTTACAGAAAAGAGCTATTCTGGTGCAGATAAATCAGACCAATAGCATGACAAGTCTGCCTTATTTCATTGATTTATAAGATGTAAATTTCTTCACATTTTAACATCTTTGAAATCTGGATGTCTTACAATTGATGGCATCCTTCAATTATAATTGGGAACACCCTTTCTTAATGATACATGAAACAGTGGTACACCTTATGATGGAATGACATGTAAAATTCAATGAAAGGTACCACGTTTATAATCAATGCTATTTTTAATGACTTCATAATATTTTATCACATGGATGGACACTTAGTCTGCTCCACATTTTGACCATTGTAATCTGCTACTCAGGACACTTTCACATCAAGCTTTCCCTGTTTCTACTGTGGGCATCATCATCCTCTCCCAGCTCTATATTTTGGGAGACATTTTGGTATTTCTTGCCCCTCATCTCTCATATCTTATCTATTTTGAGACTCATCTAGTCATTTCTTCTTCAGGGTACCTTTTCCTGGTGTAACCACTGGAGGGCTATCTTCTGAGTTTTCCAACAGTCCCCTGGTCTCTGCTTCCAGTTTCCTTTTCAATCCAGTCCTGCATTACTGGTCAAACATGACTTCAGTCACATCATATCTCTGCTCACACTCCTAGTCTAGGATCTAAGGCTCTGTCAAATTTGGCTCTAGCCTCTCCTGAAGCCAGCCCTATCTCTCTACCCAAACCCATGACCCCAGACAAAGAGGCTATGAGGGGTCCTGCCTCCAAGTCTTTGCTCACTCAGATACTTCCACGCCCACCACAGGAAGGATTGCTGCTATCTTTCTTTTTCCAAGTTTTACCTTTCCTCTGAACAGTATTATGGCTCACTTGTTCCTTATAACCATCTGAAAATATAGAATAAGTATTCTTTTTCTCATTTCACAGAGAGGAAACTGAAGTTTAGGGAGATTAAGTGCCCTATGCAAGGTTGCACAGCTAGAAGTACAGAGCCAGGCTTTAAACTCTTGGACTTTAATCTTTAAACCCGAGGCCTTTAAGGATGTATAGCAGGATGTTTTACTCGCTTAGCCGTGTCCGAATCTTTGTGACCCCATGGACTTTAGCCTGCCAGGCTCCTCTGTACTTGGAATTCTCCAGGCAAGAATACTGGAGTGGGTTGCCATTTCCTTCTCCAGGGGAGTTTCCCAACCCAGGGATTGAACCCAGGTCTCCTGCATTGCAGGAGTTTCCTTACCGTCTGAGAGACATAAGTACAAATACAACCATAAACTCCTCTGGAGGAGCACCTTGTGCCCAGATTATATACCCAGCAATATGTACCAGAATAAACAGTCTCTGGACTCTAGACATATACATGACAACAATGACATCTTTGTAAGAGTGTAAATACTTCATGTCAATATCAATCCCAGTAGCCTAAGATAAGGACAGGCCAGTTGTCCCATTCTTACTTTAAAGATGGGAAGAAAACAGAACTTTCCTTGAATTCTATCAGCTCTCCAAACAGCACTGGACCTGACTGGTTTGGCTGGGCCCAAGGTCAGGACAAAGAAGCAGAGCCATCTGTCTTGAAGACAAGCAGGACATGAGGAACTTGCTTTAAGCTGAAGGGCTTTTTAGGACCTAAGGGAAGTATTTCTTAAGAAGCAAAGACAGTGCATCCCTTCTGTCAGGTGACACTGCCTGAAGCTGAGGCAGCCGAGCAAGTCAGGCCTGAGTGCTGGATGTAAGATAAGAACACGGTGGCTCGAGGCTGCTGTTCCTTGAGCACCCACTGCCCCAACCACTTCACAGAGTGTGCACCCTGGCTAAAGGGTGTTTGCTATCACTCTGTGCTTCACTTACACACATGATGGGTTCATAACAGTCAGAAAGTACCTATCCAGGTATAACTGTGGCTTATGAGGCTGCATGGTCAAGATTCACTGTCAGAGTTTGCACATGAAGTGTACTGCCTGATAGCTACTCATCTTCTGTCATTTAATCTAACAAAATGTCTGTCTAGGTCCCTCACAGCCACTCTGACTAGGTTAGGTGTGGTTGCCACCTCCGCCTGCTCAGGAGGAAGGGAGGGAGCCCCATGTCCCGAGGGAAAAGGGCTATCAGCAAGGTCCCCTCCAGCATCCTTTCCTATGCAGTGACCCAGGTCCCTGGGCCAATTTCTCCATTCTCCTTGGCTGAGAGGCTATGAGTAATTAAGCATCTGATGAAAGCTTCTCACTGAATCTGGGAGAGCTGGTAGTTTCTTTGCTTTCAAGGATGACTTGGTGTCTTCATATCCTCACAATAACTAATCACCTCACGATGAGGTAACAGAGGCTCTGAAAGGCTGACAGGCCCTGGAGGCAGATGACATTATCCCCCAGTCCTCAGCACACTTAGCAGTCAATATACCAAGACCACTCTGGGAACCTCTAAGAAGTGAGCTTCTGGATGCTCTGCTCTCTCAAGTGTGGAGAAGAGGTTCCTTTGCAGGAAAAGGGCAGTGAGGCACAGAGAGAAGCATGGGCTTTGGAACAACCTACCTGGCTCCTCCACTGGTTAGCAAGTCATCATTTCTGTGAGCCTCAGTTTCCCCATTTGTCAAGTGGAGATGATCACTGCTACCTCATAGGCTTACCAGGACTTCTCAGTGAGAGCAGGTGTGTACAGTGCTAAGTACTACGACCCGCAGAGGGTGCTACTGTCCAGGGAAGGGAGGGGTCCTAACATCCACAGGAGCAGACAGTCCTCCACTCCGGGCAGCGCAGCTTCCTTGTGCTAAGAGGAAGCGTGAGGGGAGCACACTTCTCCAGTCCCCACCAAATACACACACATAAAACCTTCTTTGGTGAATTCAACAAAAGATGACTAGCAAGTTTCTTGTGGCCCTGACCAAACATGGATTTGTGACATGCCAAGAAGCTACTCACCGGCTCGATTTTCAGAGCGTTTCTGTAGCTGCCGAAGAAAGCGGCCTGGGCCTTGAGGAAGGCTCTGGCCACACCATCGCCGGTTGTTGTGGAGACCTTCTTCAGTCGGTTCTTCAGTGAAGAGATCTGGTGACAGAAAAGAGACACAGGCTGAGGGCAGGGTGGGAGGAGGACGGCTATACCCAAAATGTACAGAGCTTTAGAAAGCCCTGGGGAGGGGGATGGATCTGACACCTCAGCTGCTGGGAGAGCACACACACATTCAGGATTAGGGCAGGTTTTTGAAATTTAAATAAATGTTGCTCTTATTAGTGCATACCTAAGAAAAACAAAAACAAAATCACTTTCTAAGCAGTTTCAATGTGTCAGGTAATTGCTTTCACATAATTTCTGTACTTAATTCTTTCAACAATCATATAGGAAAGGGATTGTGTTCCTATTTTACAAGGGTATTAACAGTCTCAGAGAGATTAGGTTACATGTTTAGTAACAAACAAAAGTGGTCAAGTTGGAATTATGAATTGAAATCTTATAATCTGAGCCCAAACTATACAAATTTTTTTAGTTCCAATTCTATTTGCTCTTCAGATTACTTACAAATATTAGAAATAAATGGCTTATTCATAGTATATAATATATATTATTATATACCTCATACCCAAAATATTTATCAAATGTATTATAAATTATATATGCCTGCAATGCAGGACACCCCAGTTCAATTCCTGGGCCAAGAAGATCCCCTGGAGAAGGGACAGGCTGCCACTCTAGTAGTATTCCAGAAGTATTCTTGGGCTTCCCTGGCGGCTCAGTCGGTAAAGAATCTGCCTGCAACGCAGGAGACCTGGGTTTGATCCCTGGGTTGGGAAGATTCCCTAGAGGAGGGTATGACAACCCATCCATAAAGATGTGTGCTAAGTCACTCAGTCATGTCTGACTCTTTGCGACCCTATGGACTACAGCCCACCAGCCTCCTCTGTCCATGGGAATTCTGCAGGCAAGAATACTGGAGTAGTTTGCCATTCTCTCCTCCAGAGGATCTTCCCAACCCAGGAATCAAACCCAGGTCTCCCACATTGCAGGTGGATTCTTTACCAACTGAGCCACCAGGGAAGCCCCCATAAAGTATATATAATATATATTATTATAAAACTCATACTCTAAAGGAATAGTCATTATATAGATGTACAGAAACACACTTACATATCTTACATATATGCATGCAACAGATTAACATAAAATAGAAAGTCATGGCAATGGAAAAAGAATAAGCCAGGTATAGATTTAATATATAAACATAACCCATCCAGTCTTGTGTTTTCAAACTGTGGAAAATTCTTAAAAGAGATGGGAATACCAGACCACATCACCTGCCTCCTGAGAAATCTGTATGCAGGTCAAGAAGCAACAGAACCGGACATGTAACAAGAGACTGGTTCAAAATTGGGAAAGGAGTACGTCAAGGCTGTATACTGTCACCCTATTTATTTAACTTATATGCAGAGTACATCATGAGAAATGCCAGGCTGGATGAATCACAGGCTGGAATCAAGAATGCCGGAGAAATATCAATAACCTCAGATATGCAGATGACACCACCCTTACGGCAGAAAGCGAAGAGGAACTAAGGAGCCTCTTGATGAAAGTGAAAGAAGAGAGTGAAAAAACTGGATTAAAACTCAACATTCAAAAAACGAAGATCATAGCATCTGGTCCCATCACTTCATGGCAAATAGATGAGGAAACAATGGAAACAGTGACAGACTTTATTTTTTTGGGCTCCAAAAAAATGCAGATGGTGACTGCGGCCACAAAAGTAAAAGATGCTTGCTCCTTGGAAGAAAAGTTATGACCAACCTAGACAATATATTAAAAAGCAGAGACATTACTTTGCCAACAAAAGTCCGTCTAGTCAAGGCTATGGTTTTTCCAGTGGTCATGTATGGATGTGAGAGTTGGACTATGAAGAAACCTGAGCGCCGAAGAATTGATGCTTTTGAACTGTGGTGTTGGAGAAGACTCTTGAGAGTCCCTTGGACTGCAAGGAGATCCACCCAGTCCATCCTAAAGGAGATCAGCCCTGGATGTTCATTGGAAGGACTGATGCTAAAGCTGAAGCTCTAATACTTTGGCCACCTGATGTGAAGAGCCAACTCATTAGAAAAGACCCTGATGCTGGGAAAGATTGAAGGCAGGAGGAGAAGGTGATGACAGAGGATGAGATGGTTGGATGGCATCCCCGACTCGATGGACATGAGTTTAAGTAAGCTCTGGTAGTTGGTGATGGACAGGGAGTGCTGCAATCCATGTGGTCGCAAAGAGTTGGATACGACTAAGTGACTGAACTGAACTGAACATCAGGTCTTAAATAGTAGCTAGAAGTAGACTTCAAATTTGAGTTGAGCCTCCTAGTGGTCAAAACAAAAAGGAAAACATGAGAAGCTGTGGGACTCTTTGGGTCAAAAGCAGTTGCACAAATGAACACAAAATTTACTGAAAATGATAACTAAAAGAGATATTTCCTGAATCCTCAATGTAGGAAAGATTGTGTGACGTGACAGTTGTTGCCCTCAGAGACAAGATCAACCCTCCCAGGCTGTTTCCAATATGCCATTCATCTCAGGATGCCATACTGCCCAACTTCTGGGCACACCACTCACATGTGTTCCATGTGAAAAGTGCCCCTGGAATCAGGCAACCTGGTAGCCTTGAGTCAATGTGATACAATGGTGAGCAAAAGCAGACAGCAAAACCTTAAACTTATATTCTTGTGAGGAAGATACCAATACATGGGACATTGCTACCATGACAAGCCCGTGATAGAGCTCACCAAGGAGGTCAAGGAGGCCTTTGTGGAAAGAAACAGGCTTATGCTGAGATCTGAAGTATGAGCTGAAGCAGTTAATTCACATAGACTGGAAGGAATGGTGTACCAAACATGGGGATCAGCATCTGCAAAGACACTATAGTGCAGAGGAGTTCAGAGACTAGGGAGAACCGTGGCTTCAGTTGAGAGAATATGGAGAAGATAGCTTAAAATGAGAATAGATGGAAGGGTTAGCATTAAGAATTGAATACATTAAGGAATTTTCCCCTTGATTTTGAGATAAATGTAAAGCTAACAACTGTTTTTAAGTGCACAGGTGATATATCAAGAGCAAATTTAGGAATCTGTATGGGACTTAGATATAGGATTACCTAACAGCCTGACATTATTGAAGGATAAGATCTAGGGTAAAATTTTAAGACGAAATAGGAAATTAGATGCAGGTGGTCCATGAATAATCAACAAATCTTTTTTAACATGAATGAGTAAAGATTTTTTTTCTGAGTGTAGGCTGTATAGCTATATTCAGGTTCCTAAAAGTGCCTGTGAACATAAAAACATTAAAAATCTGGGATGGATTACACACACTTTCAAAATGTTCCATGGACATTATTTCTTGTCAGAAGCCCCAAGCTTCTGATAAGGGGTTTGTAATAGCTTATTAAGATATATTTTACATATTATAAAATTCATTCATTGAAAATATGTAATTCAGAAGTTTTAGTACAGTGACAATGTTGTACAACTATCATTACTATCTAAATTCCAGAATACTTTCATCACCCCCAAAAAGAGAATCCACCTTATTGGTAGGCATGTCTTACTCCCCACTACTCCTATCTCCTTCTCCCTTGCCCCAGTCTTAGATAACCACTGATCCATATCCCGTCTCTATGGATCAGCCTCTCCTGGACATTCCATATAAATGGAACCATATAATATGTGGTTCTTCTTGTGACTGGCTTCTTTCACTTAGCAGTGTTGTTGCTATTGGTCAGTCACTAAGTCATGTCTGACTCTTTGCTATCCCATGAACTGCAGCACACCAGGCTTCCCTGTCCTTCACTATCTCTCATAGTTTGCTCAAATTCATGTCCATTGATGCCATCCAACCATCTCATCTTGTTGCCCTCTTTTCCCCTTGCCCTCAATTGTTCCCAGCATCAGGATTTTTCCAATGAGTCAGCTCTTTGCAACAGGTGGCCACAGTATTGGAGCTTTAGCATCAGACCTTCCAATGAATATTCAGGTTTAATTTCCTTTAGGATTGACTGGTTTGATCTCCTTGCAGTCCTCTCAAGAGTCTTCTCCAACATCACAGTTTGAAAGCATCAGTTCTTTGGCACTCAGCCTTCTTTATGGTCCAACTCTCACATCCATGTTTGACTACTGGAAAAACCATAGCTTTGACTATGTGGACCTTTTTCAGCAAAGTGATGTCTCTGCTTTTTAAAACACTGTCTATGTTTGTAATAGCTTTCTTTCCAAGGAGCAAGTGTCTTTTAATTTCGTGACTATTTTCACGTTTTCCCCAGCTATTTGCCATGAAGTGATAGGACCAGATTCTATGATCTTAGTTTTCTGAATGATGAGTTTTAATCTAGCTTTTTCATTCTCCTCTTTCACCTTCATCAACAGTCTCTTTAGTTCCTCTTCATTTTCTGCCATTATAGTGGTACCATCTGCATATCTGAGGTTGTTGATATTTCTCCCAGCAATCTTGATTCCAGCTTGTGATTCATCTAGCCTGGCGTTTTGTATGATGTACCCTGCATATAAGTTAAATAAGCAGGGTGGCAATATACAACCTTGATGTATTCCTTTCCCAATTATGAAGCAGTCCATTGTCCATGTCCATGTTTGTTCCTCAAAATCTCTGCTGTCTCCATATAAAAGTGTATACAGAAATGACATAGCTGCCCAACAGCTGATGGGGATACATAAAATGTGCTCTTGCCATAGTTAGCCTAGTGCTCGTTATAAACATATTTCATTCACACTGTGGCACTTATTAGTACTTCATTCTTTTTCACAGATGAATATTTCATCATATGGAAAGAGCACATTTTATGCATCTCCATCAACTGAAGGGCATCTGGGTCATTTCTACTTTTTGGCTATTATTATTAATGCTGCTGTAAACATTCACATATAAGCTTTTATGTGGAGACAGCAGAGATTTTGAGGCCAGAAACCAAATGGCAAAAATACTCACTGCCAGATCTTTTAAGATAAAAACAATCCGTGTTTACTGTACATAGGGAAAGAAACCCTGTGCCGCTGCTACAGGGGCAAACCA